TTTAGGACCTATTACACTGATTTAATTGGTAGAGATTCCACAGTTTGGAAAACATTCTATTTCCTCACCAAAAATAAAAATAAAAATAAAATAAAATAAAAGCACTTGCAGCACCATGTGCCACACTGTTTCTCTGGGTAAAAAACATAGTGTCACTTCCTCAGTTGCACGCTGTGGGTGGGCCAATTGTTCTTTAGTGACTTGAAACATTCTGTGCCAGGGTTTCAAAGAAAACACTGAAATTAATGCATGAAATGCTCCTGATTCCTGCTGTAAAGAACCTCTTTATTGCAAACGTATTTATCACAAAGTCCTAAAACTGATGCACCTATTTAGATGAGCATTTAGGGAACTGCAGGGGGAAAATTAAGTCGACTCATTTTATAACCCAGAAAACTATAAACAGTGCTGTTGGCAGTCTCATCTCAGAGAAAACACGTCAGAGTGGAGGCTTTTCTTAAAATCTGCACAGGAATGTCCCTTGGATCATTTTGCTGTTGCGGAAGGGAGGTGGCCTCCCTTCACCCACTGACTCCAGTGCTGTAGTCTAAGTTCCCCCCAGGGTCTGACAAATTTGAGACATTTAATTTCTCTCTGGCAGTTGAAAGGTTTGAAAGTTATTTAGCTTAAAAGAAACATATGTCACAGAGCAAAATATCGTGGTTTTGAAAAAAATACCAGAAATGCCAGTTCTGTTGGCAAATATTCCTGGTGCTGAGAATGCAGACTGTCAAATTACATAAAAATCCACACCAGCAAAATAAAAGCCAAACAAACTAGGGCAAAAGAAAAAAAAGTGCAATTGTTTCAAATTGAGTTAATTAAATAGGTAATTGAGCAAATGAATTCTACAGTCAAATAAAATGCATTTTGCATACAAAATCTGTTCCCAGCACTAAGGGAGAGTCCCTGTACCCCATGCCCTAGCCACCCACCAACCACACTGTGCCTGACTGCAGCCCAGAGCCATCATCATGGCCCACTGCAGCTCCCTGGCTTTGGGTGATCAAAGACCCCAAGCCATTCGGGGATATTTCAAGTCTTCCTAAGGAGAACACTTCCTATTGTTCATTTTATGGAAAAAGGGTAAAACAAAATTTCATAACAAAGTAACAGGAGAATAACAATCGTTAATACATTACATGCTGTTATCTTTAAAGTAGTTGCTCAAGGTACATGATATGGGAATAATAATTTCTCCAATTGATATTAGCACAAACCTTCCCTCTTAATGAATTAAGACACTAATAGTATAATAACCAACTTGCATTTCCTCTCTTTTCCCTACTGTCTTTTCCTCTTTCACCCATCCTAGTTTCTTTTTCCTTTTGAGCAATTTCTTCCCATTTCACAATATTTATTGCACATTTTAAACCTTAATGACTCTTTCAGTTTCTCATACCAGGGAGGCATTATGATGTTTATATGTGTGAGTCTGATTTATTTCACTTATGACTATGATCTCTTATGATTTGAGACATTTACATATAAAAGTCTCAAATTTATCCTTCTTTATGCTTGAGTAGTACTCCATGTTTTTAATCCATTCCTTGGTTGATGGACATTTAGGTTGTTTCCAAGATTTGGCTTACAAATTTTGTTGCTATGAACATGGGTGAGCATATACAGCTTTGGTAAGACATTTTTAACTCTTCTGGGAAGATGCCCAGAAGGGTGGAATAGGACCTTTAATCCTAGCTTTTTGAGGATTCTGCACACTGATTTCCACAGTGCTTATTCTAGTCTACAGTCTTTCTCCATTAACAGTGGAGAAGGGTTCCTTTCCCCCAGTTTCCTTCTAGTATTTGTTATTGGTTGCTTTCTTGATATTAGCTATCCTTTCTGGGGTGAAATGGAATCTCAGTTTTGTTTTAATTTGCATCTCTCGAATGACCAGTGATGCTGAACATTTTTCAAATATTTATTTGTTTGACTCAATTCTTCTCCTATGCCACCATCTTCTTACAAATTGTATATATTAGTCATGTACAACATGATTTTTAAATTTGTTGTTAAACTAATCTTTAAGCAAAAACTGAAAATATAATATTGTACATATTGATGGGGTTCTATATGGCATTTCAATACAAGTATACGTTGGTAATGTTTAAATCAAGTTAAATATATCTGTATCTTCAAACATCATTTCTTTATGATGAAAAGTTTCAAAATTTTTCCTTGTAGCTTTGAAATGTAGGAACGTTTTTTATATCTGTGGTCATCCTACTGTACCATCACACACCAGAACTTCTAACAGTAGCTTCAGCATGATGTTTTTAAGTATTGTTTGGTTTGCAGTGCTGGGGGTGAACTGAGTCTTGCACATTCTAGGCAAGTGCTCTACTATTGGGCTACATCCATCTCTAGCCCCTTTCCTTTCCTTTCCTTTCCTTCTTCTTTCTCTTCTCTTCCCTAACCCCCTTCCCTCCCATCAACTCCCCTTTCTTTTGCCATATTGTACACTGAATTCAGGGGTGCTTTGTCACTGAGTTGCGTTTCACTTATGTTGAGTCCTTTTCACTTATGTTGAAGGCCTTGCTAAGTTGCCCCAGCTGGTTTTGAACATGTCATCCTGTGTATCAACACATCCAGCCAATGTGTCTTGAAATATATCAAAAGATGATATGTAGATAGATAGATAGATAGATAGATCGATAGATAGATAGATAGATGATAAATAACTCAATTGAGCAAATTAATACATACATTAATTCATATGCTTATTTTTCTGAGAACATTTAAAATTTGTTGTTTCAGTAATTTTCAAAATATATTGTTATTTACTATGTTGTACAATAGATCTCTTGACATTATTTTTCCTATCCACCTGAAATTTTGTATCCTTTGACCACCATTTCCCCACCAAAATCCTTCCCTCAGCAGGTGGTAACCACGACTCTACTCTCCATTTCTATGAGTTCAAAGTGTTTTAGATTTTGTGTCTCAGTGAGATCATGTGGTGCTTGCCTTTGGGTACCTTATTTCACTTAACATTATATTCTCTGGATTTATCTCTATCATCACAAATTACAGACTTGCCTTCCTTTTATGGCTGAATAGTATCCCACCACGAATGTGTCCTACATTCCTTTATCTAGTCATCCACTGACAACATGAAGTTTGCCTCCATGTCCTGACTGTGCACAGTGCTGCAGTGGACGTGAGGCTGCAGACACCCGCACCCATTTCCTGCAGATGTATATCCAGTAGAGTGCTGGATCACGTGGCAGCTCCATTTTTAATTTCCATATCTACCATGTAATGTCCATCCCTGGCCTTCTTGGAGTTACAGGAACACATCATTCCTGTCTTGATTCATGGGGAGGCTTCCTTGTACTTCTACATAGCACATTGAAACCGCCCTGTGACTTGACCTTCTCCAGGAAACTGCACTGATTACATTCTCAGCCCCTTTCACTTTTGCTTTGTTTTTGTTTTTCTTTTGAAGGGGAAGCAGGATCTTACGAAATCACTAAGCTACTTAGACTGAGCTCTAATTTGTGATCCTCCTATCTCAGCCTCCCCACGCTGGGATTACAGCTATGCACCACCACGTTCAGCTGAATTTAGTATACTGCTTGGAAGGTGTGTTGGTGGTAGCCTTCCCCCTGCCACACTGAATGTTTTTGAGGAATGTATAGCTTCTTCATCTTTCCATTTCCTGCAGTCACCAGCACACAATAATTGCTCAGGAGGTGTCTGAATGTAAGGACCAGTAAGACCCGGGTCACTATATTGGCCTCAGTTTACATATACTAGGTAGAGCCAAAGGCGTTTTAGATATTCATGTATCACTTTCGATATTCATGTAACACTTATGTGTTAGGGACTTTGCAAGAAATCACAGATAGAAGGTATAATGTATAGTTCCCTTTTTGGGTTATCATACTTAAAACTATATATCATGGCAGTGCACACCTGTAATTCCAGCACTCAGGAGGCTGAGGCAAGAGGATTGCCACAGGTTTGATGCTATCCTGGGCTACATAATGAGGTCAAGGCCAGGCTGAACTATACAGCAAGACCTCATCTCAAAAAAAAACAAAAGCACTATGTATCTTGTGCTATGTTATAACCGTTATCCAAATACTGTGAAACTCAGATGAGTGAGCATGAATAATTTTGCCTGAGAAAACTGAAGCTTTACAGAGCAAGTGACTGTCTGATTGTACTGGTTGGCAACAAAGTAAATTTTAAGTCACTTTTAAATCCCACTTTACTCGTGTGATCTTAAGAAAGTTTCTCATCTCTTGGCACTTCAATGTTCTCACTTGAAAATGGAGTAAATGTCATTTTTTTTTTAAATTGGGGATCAAACTCACAACCTCACACTTGCCAGGCAGGCATCTATGCCACTGAACTAAACCCCCGGCCCAGTGTAAACGTCATTCTTATCTCGCAGGCTTACCATGAGCATTAAATGAGACAGTGAGACAGTGTAGGTTTAACACAAAATCTGGTACATAACAAGCACTCCATCACTGGTAGCAATTATTTCAGTGCTATAATCAGACCTTGAAAGTTTCAAATCAGTAAACTTAAAACGGGATAGGGAGGAGTTCTGAAGATGCCTATCCTGTTCTCTAAATGGAGGAAGTGTATATTAACCATAAACTTCTCTTTCTTATCCACTTGAGATGGACCCTTAGTATCTCTTCAACAGTTTCCCAAGCATCCTTGATCAAATGACTAAAACTAGCTCAGGTAACACCATCTGTGATCTAGATGTTTACCAAGGTTTTACCTCTGTGAAAAAAAATAACAGACTTCTTAGATAACTGGAAATTGTTATGCTGTGCTGGGATAATATTTACATTGACTTTTTCATTGCTCTAGAGATAAACCCTCACGTCTAAGGAATATATAAACTTTATGTTGAAGTCCAATAAGCCAATAAGTACATATTTACCTTAACAGTTTTCACAGATTCAACTAATGTTAAAAAAGCTATTCATGCATGCTCAAATGTCCATTTGATTTGGTATTTCACTTAATTTCAGATCTGAAAATCCATCTCCAGACCACTGATTATGGCAACTTTTTGGCTAATGAGACAAATCCTCTTACGGTTTCCAAAATTGACACAGAGATGAGGAAAAAGCTCTGCAGAGAATTTGACTATTTCCGGAATCACTCCCTGGAGCCCCTCAGCACCTTTCTTTCCTACATGACGTAAGTGCAGGCGGGAAGCTGCATTCAGCCCAAGTGTGATTGTGCAAACTGCTTCTAACAGTCACAGGTGGTGTATTTGGCCGGAGTAAGACTTCAGACCTTTTCCATCGCTTATAAGTTTGAATACATTCAAATTTTAGCAACTAAAAATCTCACAGCCACATTTACACATTATAAAAAAGACACTTCAAAGATGATTATGTAAGTTGCAGTGGCCTCCATATCAACCAGTGTTTTCATTTTTCATGTAAAAAAAAAAAATAGTGCCGCTCCTTAAAGTATTTACCAAGATTAGTGTTACGTCAGATTTTTATATCATTTGTGAGATAGAATTGCAATATCACAAATTGTTCTTATAATCCCTTCTATCTCTCCAGATTCTCCATATTTAATCTCCATGTTTAATCGCCAGTAAATTATACCTTTTATTAATCCAGTTAAAAGTCATATCTATTGCTCAAATGATCCATTTAAAATAATTTTATGCCTCTATATTTGTCTTAGCTGACAAGCTGGGAACAAAGACCAGCTATACAGGAGTTATGTATTATGTAGACAAGATTTAGATGTAATAATCAAATTTATGAGTATTAGTCTCAAACTCTACACTGGTGCCTGGCATCCAGGCACTCAATATATTTGTGAAAAGATGGTAACAATAAAGCAAGTTCTTGGTTGTATAAGCCAAAAATTAGTCAAAAGGGGGAAAAAACAGTAATTCAGGTCAAAGTCTGTGCTTATTACTAAAGATAGAAATTAGAAAAAATGTGTATAAAAAATTGGTGTTGAAATTTCTGCAGGGAATCCCTGAAAGACATAGACTCCAAGGGAATTCGAGAAAGACTGGACAGGCAGATGGCAGATGGCCTTCTGCAAAGGTGACCAGTCCCTGCCCAATCGACTGTTAACACATAGAATAATGCTGCCTCTGAGACCAGGGTGGAGGAGAATCTGCTCGTCTGACCAGGAGCACCCTCCCTTGTTCGCTTAGGCCTTCTTCCATCCTTCCATTTCTCCATCTTCCATGCTTCCATTCTACAAGTATCATTAGTTATGCCCTCAGGTCCAGCAAACAAGAGAACAGAACTAAGAAAATATAAATGTATCTGCTGAGCCAAACAAAGCTACATGGGCTCTAACTGATATGAGTTACTTTAGCTTGAGAGGAAAATAACATGCCAGGCAGCCAGAGTTATCACACTGGGACAGACATTGCTAGGATTCTAAATAATATAAACAGAAAATATTCCATGTGACAAATCTTCATTCCCAAGCTTTTGACGCAAAGGAAAATTTATGTAAACTTTCTGTTATTCATAGTAGACAAAAGCAGAAGTAAAGGAAGTCTATTCTGTTTGGGACTTCATATCACATTATGATTTTCAAAGATCAACTTTGGTTCATGAATAACTAAGAGGAAAGAGTATTCAGGAGTGTGGCTCAGTAGTAAAGAACTTCCCCACTCTGCAGGAAACAGAGAACAAGGGGGAGAAGCAGGAGGTAGGGAGGGAGGGAAAGAAGGAAGGCAGAAAGAGAAAAAGAAAAAGAGAAGCAAAGATATCAAAGGACATGATTATAACCATACAGGACTTTTTTCCGATTTTTTTGGAACTCATGACTCATACTTAGCTTAAGCAAGTGCTTAAGCCACTGAGCTAACCCATATAGGATTTTACAAGAAAATAAAGTTACTCCATTTTACCTGTCCCCTTCTTTTCTACCTTGTTCTTCCCAAAGTATCCACTTTTCAGTTTCTTATATGTTTTTATAAAAAAAAGTATTCCTGTGGATATGTCATTGTACCTACACACTCTACCCTCTCCAATCACATTTGAAATGTACACATAACAGCATAATTTTCTTTGTGTGTTTTTTCTATCTTAACACGTATGGCCTTCGTATATGTGAAGCATGCTCTCTGCTGTTGTGCTAACACTCAATCATGTATACAGGTCTTGAATGTATTTCTGAATTTAGTTTATAGCTCTGGAAGTCGTAAATCAAAGAAATCTGCATATTGGGCTTTGGTAAATAATACTAAGTTAACAAAGGTAGCACCAATTTGAATTACTGTAACAGTTCACCAGAAGGCCTAAATTTCTGCACCATTACCAACACTGGTGAGTCTGTTCAATTTTTCCAGTAGGTTACAAACAGTATATTTTTCTCCAATTTATAGCTTTTTAGGGAGTGAAATTGATCATTTCATATGTATTATTTATGTATATTTGGGATGTGACCAAATAATTTACCTAGTTTTTACTTGGAATTTTCAGCTGTTTTTAATGGATATGTAAGATTTTGTAAATTAAGAAAGTTAAGGCCTAGTCGGGTGTGGTAAATCAAAGACATGGCCATGGTTCAAAGAAGAAGCAATGTAATGCACCTGAGAAATGTGGTTAGTGCCCACGGTCCCGTTTCTATAATCAGGGCTCTTACCAATATGAGGGTTAAGGTTATTCTCTCCAGTTTATTTACAGGCAACACACAGATGGAAAGTCTTTGATGCTAGGCAAAGAAAGTGGATTTTACCACATCAGAGTAGTACAAAATGTCCTAATTGCATGGGAGTATAAGTGATAGCCAAAATGCTAGACAGTGTTTCAGAATATTTATTATATGCCAGGGCTCTGCTGAGTGCTTTACAAACACTGCCTGGTCTAATTCTTCTCAAGTCTTTCCAGTATGTGGGGGGCAGGGGGGGCAGTCTTGGCAAGTGTCATGCAATTGTTATCACTGTTCTAAAGATTCTAAAGAGGAAGCTAACATTTCAGAGCAGTGATTTTCTTGGATGAAAATCTGACAAATGGAGAAGTCATAATTCAAAGTAAACGTTAGCAGTAGACTTTTTAGAATTGTTTAGCTCAGAATTCAGTTGAGTTTAGAAAATCTGACCCCAATGATGGCAAGGGTCATCATGCAGTTTTAACTGGATCAGGGAGCTGCCAGGTTCTATACTTTAATATTAGGACATAGATCTCAACGACAAAGAAAATTTGCCCAGTGTCTACCAGGAAAGGCCCCTGTTCCAAGAATCACTGTGAGTCATTTGGTCAGTGGTTCTTCTCACATATTAAACTCTCTGATTTATAATTTCCTAACTGTAGAATCTTAGTTCTGAAGGAACCTTAATATTAACTAGGTGAGGATCCTGATTTCAAAATGAGCTGCTATGTTAAAATATAGTCTGTTTTTAAAAACAAATTATTTAAAATTCCAAACATTTCTAATCAATAGCAATGCTTAAAAATTCTATACAAGAGTACAGATAGTTACAGACACACACACACACACACACACACACACACACACACACATATGTATACACAAAGAATATTGATGAAAAACTGGGCCAGGTATGGTGGTGCTCACACATGTAATCCCAGAACTCTGGAAGATTGAAAGACTAACTTCAAGCCCTGACTGGGCAACTTAATAACTTAGCAAGACTGTCTCAAAATAAAAAAGAAAACAGAGATCTTTTGAGTCTATGTTTTGTCCCATCATCGCAACAGACTATGTAACTGGCCAGCCCAGGCACCATGCTGCTACTTTCTGTAAAGCCTAAGGATTTATTTCAACAGCAAAGGTTGGAAAAATGGAGGAATGATGTCCCGCTGGTCTGAAGCCATTTGTCTTATCTCTTCCAGAATGTTTTGCAAAAGCAAGTATCTACTTAACACCCACGAACTTCCAATCAAATAGAATTACTTTTCTCTCCTGATAGGAAGTGAACAAGGTGACATTATAGAGATGACTAAATCAAGCCTAAGAGAGGCAGTCTAAATTTAAATTGCTATAATAAACATAATTTTAAGTATAGCGCATTTTATGTGATATAATTACTGTACATGAGAAACTTATTTTGAAAATCTGGAACAGATATTTTTAAATTCTTAATAGCAGGAAGATCTGGAGGTTTTTTATACTATAATTACACACAGTTTATGAAACAAAGGAATAGATCTGGTAACATTTTAGTAAAGACTATTTAATATAGGCCAAGGTTGTTTTTTCTTCTTTCCTAACCAGTCCTTTCCAGCACCATCTCTACTTCTCATCCTTTGAAATCCTATGGTTTTTTTTTAGAATAATCTCTCACATATTCAGAGTACTATACCCCCAAGGGCTGTAAGATATTTGAATAGAAGATGATCAAAGAAATAGTCTCAAATATCTACATGGTACAGTTGGTGTTCCATATTTGCTGGCTCCCCATCTGCCAATTAAACAAACTGTGGTTCACAAATATTAGGGAAAAATTTCATCTTTACTGAAAATTTACAAACTTTTTCCTTGTCATTATTCCTAAACAATATAGTATAACAACTATTTATAATGCATTTGCATTGGACTGCATCCTCTCTGGAGATGATTCAAAGTATATGGGAACATGCCTGCAGATTATATGCCAATATTATGCCATTTAATATAATGACTCTGAGAATCCTCAAATTTGGTATCTACAGAAAATTCTAGAACAAGCCCTCCCTTCCCCACACATACTGAGGTGGGGTGGCGGGGTAGTGCATAATCTCAGGTTAAGGACCTAAAACTGCAGAGAATGTGAGGTCAAGGGCCACAAATTGAAGAAATCTTTGAAGGCTACTTCCTAAAGACTGCGTTCTGCTGCTGAACATGGAAGGACTCTCAGTGCCAGCACCAGGGAAGTCTGCAGCCATCCAGACGAATGCTCCCCTTGGTTCTCAAGAAATATGTGGTTCTCACGAAATACATTTCCAAGCTCTGGGTCACGAAGAGCTTCCACTGACATGAAGGCAAGGAAATGTGTCTGCGAATGGTGGAAAAAATAGGGCAGATCAACAGAAAGCTACCATAAAGCCTTTAGCATTCAATCAGAGGAGCCTAGATTACTGGAGTAACTAGTTGTGACTTTAAAAGATTTTGCAGATAGAGTTGAAACTCAGCCAATACATATCTCAGTGGGCACTTGCCCTGAGTTCTGTCCCCAGCACTAAATAAATAAATAAATTTGCTTT